ATGCAGAGGAAGTGGTCAGATTTGTTTTCTGTGTATAAAATATTTAGGATGCCTCCTGCAAGCCTGGCCATAGGGTCAGATCTGTCTGTAACATTGAGATCCCCTACAATTTTGATGCACAGAGCACTAGGTGTATTAATAACTGTTCTGCTAATGTCTCTCTCTTCCCTCGTCCTTCCTTTCCTAGAGAAATGTCTTGGGGTTTTTTTTTTTTTTTTTGTTTGTTTGGTTTTTTTTGTAGTAGTTTGTTTTGTACTTTTTTCCCCCAAAAAGGCTGCACTATCACTTTACAAATACTTCTTTATGCTGTATTGCATAACTCTGATTTGTCTGATAAGATATATGCTATTGTTTAGACATCCACAGTGTAAGATGATGGGAACACTTCTGACAGTAAAAACTGAACAAAGAATTAACCAAGTGATTTTCTACAACTTATCTCACAGATAGCATTTATTGTTCTCTTTCTGTAGAGTTGGTTTTTGGAAATTTACTTGCAATGCAAATAAAATAGTATTTTTAGAGACAAAAAGAAATTTTATTTCTTTAAAATGAGACCAGTAGCAATGGCCATATTAAAAAAAAATAGAGCAATAATTTCTTAATCTTAAAAACCTATTTTTAATTCAATATTTCATGCATTGTTTAATACTTTTACAACTTTAAATAGTTCTGAAAAAGCCTCACATAATACCATCTGAGAAAATTAAACTGTTTTTTATTATTTGGGGATAAAACATGAATTGAAGATACAGTTTCCAACAACATTGAAGATAAACACAAGGTATTACAATACAGATCTAACATAAAAACATTTTTACTTTTGTTGAGTACTTTGTTCTTTGAATTCATAGTTCATAACCCACAATTTACTGTATTCTAACAATAACACTTTCCTTCAAAAATTAAAGCAGTATCCTTTTTATATGTGAAAGATTTCCATCATCTTACAGTTTTCCAGAAGATGAGCAATGGAGTCATTGTGTGAAAGGATTTAAACGTATTATAATGTTATATCTGTTAGCCATAAAATTTTGGACCCAGCATTACTAACAAATTTGCTCTGAGGATAAATGTGCACAAGTAAAAGCATGATTTCAAACCTTTGGGCTCAAGCTTGATGCTCTCTTTCTGTATGTATGTTAAAAAATGGGGGAAGAAACTTCAAAATTGCTCATGAGTACCACCTTGGTTTTAGCAGCCAGCTCTTGAAAAAGAAAAAAAAAAAAAAAAAGAAAAAAGAAACACAGGAAAAAAAAATCATCTACAAACCAAGAACAACCCTTCCCTCCCTGCCCTAAACAAAACCTTTGTTACTGGCATTTATTATTAGGTATTTGTATCATGTGGCTCCCTAACAACAACTAAAAGATGTACCTTGTCAAACATCCATATTTTGAGATCTAGTCAACATAACCAAGTAAGATTATAAGGAAATATCACTTTGGAAGACCAGACATGTTTGCTGGAAGAGCAAAGTATTAAGGAGGTTCCATAAAGATTGCTTAGCCAATTGTTGGTATGCTATATCATAGAAAATTCCATAGTGGGGAGAAAGAAATTGTTTTATTTTCACTTCAGACATACTTTGTAGGGAAATTTAATCTCTGACCAATGGGAGGGTCAAGTGCAAGCAGCATTAATCTTTAATTTATGTAAGGGAAAAGCTTCTGTTTGTTTCAGGGTAGCATGCTCTTAAACTGTTTCTATAGTAAATTCATAGGTATTCAGAGAAAGACAAACTTGCTGTAAGTGCATTTTAAGCAAAACAAAACTTCCTTTGCTGTAAGGTGATTGATGCTTTCTAGTGATCTCATGTTTATTTGGTATTTGGTATATGCTAACTCTTTATGTCAAAGACACATCTTTTAGACTTGGTTCACAAGTTTTGGCAAGATGAAAAATACTAGCACAAGCTTTTTCAACAGCTTAGTAACCGCTTAAGATTATTAAACAAAACCTCCTCAGTTTCTCAGTCGAATTACATAGGATTATATGAGATGCAGCTACCAGACATTATTTCAGACTTCACTTCACCCACCTTGACTAACCAGTTTTCTTTTTCAAAGAGAAATAAAGATTGTTTTACACTTCAAATGATTCAACAGCATTTGAACTTCCACCATTTTACGACTCTCTTCAAAAGTCAGGTTTGCTTTAAGAAGATACACCAAATTTCTGTATTTTCTAGGAATCTTGTTTCTATTATAGGACAATGATAGTTCACCTTCTGAAGGCAGAGAAGCTTTTCTCTCTTTGGACTCTGGCCTCCTGATGGATGATTCAAGAGCTCCTGCTTGGTTCTTCATGAGCCAATGCAACCTTGAGATCAATACTAGACTTGGCAGCTAGCAGGGAGATTTCAAAGAATTTTAATTGGTCCTTTGAAAGTGCCTCAAAACGTTGTAACAAGACTGCCTTGGCAGAATCTTCAAAGTCCGAGTTTTCAGATGAGAAAATGCTAGGTTTCCCCCCACCAGCTTCAATAGGTTTTTTGTGGACCAGAGCACATCCATTTACTAGCTGGTTCCAATTAGCAGGAAACAATCATCCTAAAACAGAAAGTGTACTAAATTTACCTTATTTTTGAGTGTCCTTTATTGTCTCTCAATTACACAGCTTACACAGCAGAATGTCTTTCAAAGACAAAACTTCAGTCAGTGGTATAGAAACAGGAACGGGCTGGGTGTTGCTCATCACCTGTGATTTTACAAAGCGTCTTGAAACTTTTTGTCATTCCTAAAGCAAGCTAAGTCTCAAAAGAGCAAAGGTGATAAAAAATGGCAAAGAATAAATGAATAATATTTACTATTTTTCCATGCCCTTTAAAAAATTCTCTTGCTTTTTTATACATTTGAAAGACATAGTTTTGTGCTTTCATATACTTTGCCCTATTCTACTCAATAATTTTATTTTTTTAGTTATGGAAATAGATCAAAAGCTAAAAGGAAGTCCATGCTAGAAGAAGGCACCCAGATTCCTTTATGTCACACAAGAACTTTGCGAGACTAAGGTCAACCAGCTAAAGAGGAAGCTGGAAAAAAAAATGTAAACTTTTTAAAAACAAAGTTAACAAGCCAATAGGAATAATTGTTTAATGGGCATTGGATTTTCCATTGTTTAAACAGTCAAGTTGTAGTTCACTTTAAAATGATTTGATTAATTTTAGGAGATGTTCAAATTTCATGGTCTGTCTTTAAGTGGGAAGCCAAGAGTATATAATTATCTTTTGACTATGAAATCCTGTTAATTCCAATTAAGAAATACAAGTCACTCTAAATCTTTGAAGCTCTTATGTTTCAAAAATCAAAACCATGGTGTTCATGTTCTTGGACATCAGAATCCCAACACCTGGAAACACTTGTTTCCTTCTAGGAGTCTTCTGATATGTTTGTTTTGGCACTTGTACTCTTTCCCCACTACCAGTCAAGAGATATAGGGAAATAAAAGCTTCCAACCACATACAGCTCTTGCTTTACTGCTTCTACTAGTAGGCTTTTTGTTTCCCTATCATGGAATTCCATTTAAATGGAGTTTTGAATCATCATGTGATAAATCTATCACTGATTAAATTACTCTTTATCCAGAGCTACAGTTGGGAGTGAGTAGGTGACAGATACAGCCTGTATTTTCCTTCAAGTAATTCCAGCATATTTGAGAAGCTATGTTAAGAATATTCTTTGATTTTCTTCATAGTGAAAAAATTTTATGTTGTTGGCCTACTGCCCAAAATCTCAGTTGGAGAAGGAAAGACTCTATATTGCACATTCACATTTGATTTAGAGAGTGTATACTTCCTGATGTTCAACTTCTATGCCAAACAATAAAGTAGAAAAATTTTCAGGAGAGTCACAGTTTTATTTTAAGGAGTTAGGTCTGTTCCCTAGATTAAAATAACTGAAAATAATACAATCTATTTTGAATTCCCAGTCAATATTTTTTTCCAAATTCTCTATCATGATGACCAAAGAAAAGTATACATCTTGGTTTTTAATTCTGAGAGACACAGACATCTGTACTGAAGAGTGATGGAATTGGTCACAAAGCACAAATTACCACTTTCAATTTCTTGATTTTTTACCTTTTCTTTACACTCGATGTTGCTCAAGACTGGACAAGATGGATCCCTAGAAACGTGGCTTGAATGAACAGAACCCCATTGGACTACCTCAGAATGAACCAAATCCACATACATCAACTGCTGCAAGTACATGTAATCCTTCAGAAAGTTTACAGTATAGTTTTTAAATGGGAGCCTGCCTTACACTTAGTAAACTTTACTTTAACGAGAGAATTTCATGCTTTCACTGGCAATGGGAATACTTTCAAACTTGGTGAAACAGAACACTTTTAAATGATGTGTAAGTAGCAATACTTCTTTCACTGTTTGTATGCTGGAAATACAGATTCATCATCTGCTAGGGTGTCTAGTCAAATTTTAGTTCTTTTACTCTAATTTTCTTCTTACTGTAGAAAGATAAAATCTTGCGGGGTTTCTTATGATTCTGAAGCACTTAAAAGAAAAATCTACCACCTAATCTTCACAAAAGCAGGGACCAGGGCAGCCTCAAAAATAGAGGCACTACACGCAACAGTTACTGTTTTACTTCTCAGCTACTTCCAGTGTAACTGATTAGCTGCAGCTCTTAACTGCACTAGTAGACACAAAAATGTTAAGGCAAACTTACTTGTAAAACAGGAAAGGAAAAGACAGCAGGGCAACACTGCTGAATTAAAAAAAAAAAAAAATTAGAATCAGAATTTAACATCAAATTTAGGCTAGAGACAAGAGAATATTGCAAAATGAAAGAAACCCCACACAGAAAAATTTAAAATGCTTTATATTTCAAATGAAGACAGCTTAACAGAATCAAATTTCATTGCTTAGAAGAGGAAAATTATTTTGTAGAGGTATTTTCAAGATTCAGATTTAAGGCTCAATAAGAACAGTCTCTTTGGAAAGGCCAGATGTGGTAGTCAAGAAAATTTATGACAACATATATTTATCAGAAGATGCTTTATTAACAACAAATACAAAATTTTTACTCATTCCCTGATGTTTCATTTTAAAGATAAAGCTTTTCCTTGACCACTTTTACAGACTTGTAAATACAGCATTGTAAAAAATTAAAGCAAAAAAAATTGTGACAATAAATTAAGAAAATGTGAGGATGAGACAAGCCCAACATATCAAGGACAAAATGCATTAGAAGAAATAGAAAAGTTATGCAATAGAATTGAAATATCATATTCTCCTTCCATAAGGACTTTGGGGGTTTTGCATATGAAATAAAATAGCAGCAAAGAAAAAGAGTAAGTACAAGTGCATTTGTGTCCCACTGGAACTTGTTCTTATTAACCAAAACAGTAGTAATCATCAGAATCAATTTTGGGATGTTTATGCAGAGACTGTGAGTCCTCTGTGATAGAAGAATCACTGAACTTGTCCATATCTGAAGGAGTTTGGTGACCAGGGACATCATCCACTAAGGTGTCCAAGTAACTCCCCACTGATATTCCATCCAGTCCATCACTACAGTCTTGTAAACTGTTACAGCTGCCATGGAGGGATGTCTCCTGACTTTCTAGCAAGCTGCACAGGCTTCCACTCAAACTGCTGCCTCTGCTGGCAATGGCTTTCTCTTCAATCATCCACTTGATTGATTCAATACTTTCATTGATGAGTAGGAGCTGGCGCATAAGCTTCACATCAGTGGCTCGGAGATTAACCTAGAAGGCAAAAGTGATTTAAAAAATTACTCTTCATAATCAAGCCAAAGAGCAGGCTTGAATGGGCTGAAATAAAACACATAAAAAAATATCCAACTTTCCTATCTAGGACAAATCTATTCCAGTAAGTAGTAAAAAACCAACCAAACAAAAATCTCCCAAAGTATACCTATAGTAATACTTTCAGTTAAGGTCAAGTGGGAACCTGGTCAGCCTCCCTAAGCACTCCATTAACAGGACTGATGGTCAATGGCAAGACTTGTATGCACAAGGCTACAACACTGTTTAGATGAGAAACACAGCTGCTATGACAACTCCTGGGGACAGCCTTTCACTAATAAGAGAACCAAGACACAAAGCCATTTCTATTTACCCTTACTCTAAGCTACTTACAGCTACAGATATCTATTCACCCCAAGTTATCCTTACTATGGCTACTTGGGCAACCTAAAATTTCCATAATTTGGAAAAAAGCTTATGGGCATTTAATTTTTACTCACACTACTCCTAAGTGGACATGAAAATTTGCTAAATAAATGTCTGAGAGTTTAAATCTTTAACTTATTGAAACTATAACTTTCAGTTACTTAAACCCGTATTAGATGGAGGTGATGAAGTTCAGAGGTAACCACATATTATAGACACAGAGCAAGCATTTGCCACAGCTATCTAAATAAAAATTGGACATTAAGAACAAACTCCTACTTTCCCACTTAATTGTGGTGGTTCATGCAAACACACAGAAGTGTTAATAGTAATGCTCAGTGAAATATTACAGTGTTGCATTTGACAGATTATTTGAGTTAACCATCTTAATGTTTTCCTTACAGGCAAACTATATAAACCACTTTTTAAGTCACTTCAGCTGACAAATAAAGGTGAGGCTTATATTCATAGCTTCCTTCTCTTCATCTGAAACATCATAGATACTGGAAAAAATAATCTGAAGAATAAAAGACCCTGAATCTGAACAAAAGACCCTGTCTTATGTGCCACATCAAAAATTTGGAAGTCTTCACTCAACTGAAAAATAAAGAAAAAACAAGTAAGATCTATTACACATCAGACAATTGATATTTTATACAATTCTCCAGTTCACAATTGTACAGAAAAATAGCAAGTGTATTGTTCATAGACAATGGTCTGGAACAGAATGAGTATTCTCAGGAAGCAAAGACTGTATCTTACTTTGCCAAGAGTATAAACTGAACACTATCCATACTCAAATGCCATCTTCTCAGTATCCCGAATTTCACTGACACTGACCTGTACAGATGTTCAAAAATTATTTTAATGTGTTTTTATTCTCTTAGATACTGCAGAAGATTGTAGTGGATCCAGCTAGGACTTTTCCTAGCAGCTGTTATGGTTTTGTTCCCTGTATCTGTGACCAAAGTATGCCAGTAGCATTCCAGTGTTTCAACTCCTGCTGACCAGGGAGAGCAATCAAGGCCTTTTCTGTTTTTCACTCTGCACCCTCAGAGGTAGTCTATGATAGAGAAAGATGCTTGGAGTGAACAGAGATGGGATAGTTGACCAGAATTCATTAAATGGATATTTCTTGCCAAACAATGTTGTGCCCAGCAATAAAATCTGTGCATTTAATCTTTCCTTTGGGGCTGGCTTGGTCTACTGGTGGGAAAAGGTGTGCCACTGACTTTGCAACACTTGTTCATTCATTTCCTTCATTTTTAAACTGCCTTTATTACAATCTAAGTTTTTCTCGCTTTTGCTCTTCTAAATGTCTCCCCTGATGCCACTGGAAGAGGAGAGGAGAGTGAGTGAACAGCTGGTGCATTGTTAGTTACAGGTCAGGAACAACACAATGCAAAGACATTCCAAGCTTTGCCAGTAACAGACTGCCTATATAGCCATCATATGCATTCCCAGCTTCCTTCCCCAATCCCCAGAATGACTTCTGAATTATTCTCAATACAGTATCACAGGAGTTAACACAGTTAAATCTCTGCAAAACTGTGCAAAACAGTTCTACCTACCATTCATGGTTTTAACAATACTGCCCATCTATCATTGTTTCAGAAGTGAGGTTATGAAAACAGATTGACCATTTTGTAGTTCTCCTGCCCAAGCCAATTCCTCTACTCTAACCAATAAATCACTATAAACCATTTGCTCAGCAGCTAGACTGTCATGAAAGTAGTAAATTACCCAACTTCTCAAATGCAACTACAGACTTCAGCAACTTGCTGAATATAAACATGTTAGGAGACAAGTTTCCCAAAAGGCTGATTAAGGAAATGTTTAACAGAACTAGCACCAATATGACACAAATGAAACAGTCCCTTTTAGATAAAGTAGACATCTCATATATTTCAGATTCAGTTCACAGGAAATAATTTTTTTTTTCTGTAAATACAGCAACAGCTTCAGCATTTTTGTGGAATAGCCTTACTGGAAGCAATTCTTTGCATTCCTGGATAGCAGAATCATCCTCCTCCTAGCTACCATGTCATTCCAAATCTCCCATATCAAGAGTGTGCTTTTCCTAAAGCAAATATTAAAAAGTAGTTTAACAAGTGTCATCTTTCTTTAATATGGCTTACTTCATCATCAGTTCGATAACACAAAAATGGCAAAATGACATTTTTTGCCCCTTACATGCTTTAGCACAGACATAATCACTTATGTAATTGCAGCCCATTTATCTTGGAAGTTGTTGGAGTATACAAGTTGGAGTGTTTTTGGAGTAAACAAGTCAGTCCAAGACTGTTCAGCTAACAGGACTAAACACAATAAAATCTCACCATGCTTGACAGCTCCATTTGTTATGCACAGTAACAGGTGCATGTCATGAACAATCTGAACAGTGCATCATAACTAATACAGGCTTGTCAGAACAGTTTTTATAGCTGTCCTTTAAGTTAAAGCTAGAGCACAGGACCACCACAGGAAAGGTGTGTGTTATTATGGATCAGTCCTCAGGAAAAAACTTAGGGTGTATAAAGTAAACTACAAGAGAGTAAAAACTAATTTTCTGTTACAAGTTAACTTTTATATATTTTTGCTTAGTCTTGCTCCATATATTTGCAATAGTGCTGATCACAAGAAGGATACTAAATGTTTAACATTAAGAGCTAGTCACAGCAGGAGAAAATAATGAAATTGAAGTGATAGCATCTTTCTTGTAACACATTCTGGTAGCGTAAGCGCACACATTAGCATTCAGAAAGAACCAGAACTTTAAGCTGAAGGAATAGTTGGACTAAGCACCTGTCTGTGCCTCCTTCTCCTACTTGTCATTCTAATAAAATATTTTTTCCTTTCTTTTGGTCTTCTGTAATAATATGTAAAACACTTATAATTTGTTCAAGAGAATTGATATATATGCAAACACAAGGGCTTTTGTGTAATACTTATATATGCAGAGAGACACACAAATATTCATGCTATTTTTTAATACAGTTCAGGGTTTCTGAGAAAGATTGACTAGGTTATTGCTTTTAGAATAAAACTTTGGATGACCAGGACTGCTAACAAAGACAATTATTGCTTCCTGGCACTCGCCCAAAGTAGCGCATTGATCACTTAGCTTTTGGATCAAAGTCAGATATGTGGTCACAATTTGGGCAAAACAGCCTTGTTTTTCACTGCTGCATGTTCTGCAGACATAGCTTCCAGTCAGTTACAAAGAGAGGGTCACCTTCCCCTCTGGAAATGAAATGGCAAACCCAAAATGACAGCTAAATATACCCTATAAGCTGTGAAAGCTGTTTGAAACTCTAGATTCTTCCTGCACATTACTTTCTTTTAAATTCCTGGATTCACATGCTGCTTCTTCTAGTTACAGGAATTCTACAGAAATATTAATGGCAACCATAAAACATGGTTTGAGGAAAAGACATCCCATTTCATTTTTTTCTCAAAACTTTTCATTTTTCAAAAGACATTTCCATTTCATTTTTTTCTCAAAACTTTTATGTTCTGTGCCATAAAGAGTCTACTAGTAAAAGGAAAAGAATTGATGGACCTAAATAATGAAGTATTTTTCTCAGGATAAGTTTTTTAGCCAGAGCACAGTGAAGTAAGTCCTCACAATAGACAAAATCTTATATTTACAACTTAATGGATTCAGGGGACTATTTAAGTCACTCAGATCAGAAGCTCTGCTCTACACAGAATCTCAAAATGAATCTGGGGTTAGCTAATCTGGAATCTGCATTCTAAAACATCTTGAGTTTGTACACAAATTCCATGATAAGAGGAAGTGGATGGAAACAGTACCAAAATACAGTACTCCTGGGAAAGCCCCTAGGAGGTTCAGGCCTGGGAAGTCTTGCAGAAGGTAACAAACACAGGGAAAGGTTAGATGAAACTACGTGCAGCCAATTCCATCTGTTGCTAAACACTACCACACCCATCTCCATCACACTTTTTGCAAACAGAATTTCAACCAGTAGAACTTTTCCACACTAAACAGTATTGTTTAGTGTGCATAACTAATATGGTTCAGGAGTATTAAATACTACTATTGTTTCCATTTCCTAGGAGGTGTCAGAGATAGCTTTCTGCTTTCCTACTCAATTTCTTGTATTTCCCTTATCATTCAGGATGACGAGCTTGCCAGCTATGCGTCCCCTTTAATTTTTAAAAGGGAGATTATCTCAGCTTTTCATAAAATAGTAAATTCCATCAATTAATTCCAGTTGCAATTAAAAATATCTAAGAATCCATATCCAAATAATAGTTTGTTTTGCATTCTGAGATGTCTCTTCTGAAAAAAACCTGACTTTATTCTATTTTCTCCTGTTGTTACTTTTACTATTACAAACACTGAATAACAAGTTTTAAAGTAACTAAGGAAATTAATTTACAAGGCAAAAGATGAGGGTGAGGGAAATAAAAAAATGGTTGGCAATTACTCAAATTTTATCAAGATACAAATATAGTAAGAAGATATATAAGGATAAAAAACTGGTCAATAAAACCCCATGGACTAATTCTGTGAGACCATAACAAGCTAAAATACCATAAGAAACTTA